GTTTCGAGCGCGGACTACAGACCCCAGTTCAGCGACGCCCACGAGTACAAACGTCTCAACGGTGGCCGCATCAGGGAGTTGAACCACTTCGTGGCTCTGTCTCACGACAACACCGCGAAAAATCACGAAGCTGCTGTCACGAGGATGGCCGGTCTTGTGCGCTTGGCACAAGACGACTGCAAGGAGTCGGAGGCGAGGCTCAAGGAAGCTGTAGGGGACTCGGGTGGTTCACCGTCGGCTCCTCATACCTGCACGGAACTGGCGGACGCGCAGGGCAAGGTGACATCGCGTACAAGTACACGTTGTTCATTTCCCGCGTTGCGAATGGCACGTAGCGTTTCATTGTGTTGCCTGCCCGCGTCCCGGTCTACCCGTGCCGATGCTGTTCTCCCCGTCACCGCTTCCCGGTTCCCTCCGTTGCCTATACCGTTGCCACGGCGTTGAAAAATATGCCAACGTCCGATCTCCAGGCGCAAGAGCAGCTCAGGCGGAGGTGGGCCGCTTACAGATGTATAACGGGCACGTACTTCGTGAGTATCGACCTTCATTCGTAGGTAGCGGTGCGGCGCAGAGGTGTGCCTCAACGCGCGTTATTCCAGACCGACGTTCCATCCGTTCTTTGCCCCATTTTGTGCCGGCCGTTGGAATTCGAGGCATTGTTGGGATGTGTTACGGTAGCCGACAGGGAGTTAGAGGCCGATTGCAATTAGGCAGACCGACCTAACGAGAACTGGACGGCGTAGGGACCTTGTGACAGTTTTGGAAATCCTGAGTGAAATGCTTCTTCCTACGGTATGACGTTGACGTTTACCCGATGCGAAATTTCTACGGCGGCCGCAGACCCCGCTGGCTTCCGCGGCGGAAGTAACCGCGTTGGAGAAGGAGTGCTTCAACAAGCGGCAGGTGGGTCTTTGGGGCTCGGGTGTCGAAGAAGTGGGCAAACAGGAAGGTGATCGCATTCAGGTGTAATGTAGCGGCGATTCATGTCTGTAGCCTTGTCATTGATCCCGTTCACCCCCCGTTTGCCGTACACACGTTTTTTATTCCGTTGTTTTTCCGTTGTTTATTTTGTCACATCCGTCATCGTACTCATATCAACACTATTCCGCGAGCAGTGGACGATTGTGGTTGCGTTTCGTGATGTTGATTTTGTTCCGTTGCTCTCCGACCTGCCGCCAGGACGAAGCGCGGAGGCTCGCGGAGCGTAAAGCGATTGCAGCTGCTGAGGAGGAGCGCCGCAGGATGGGGAAAAGCAAAGACGGGGGTGGAAGGACAGGGGGTGAGGAGAAGAACTATGGAGGGTCGAGCCGCAAGGGGGGCGGCGGTGGTGGCGAGGGAGGGGACAAGGACGATGACAACGCTGGGGGGTCGGGCCGCGAGGGAGGAATGGGTGGTGGCAAGGGCGGCGAGGAGGATGACGATAACGATCCGGATGATGG